CCCCCCCCCCAGCCGCTCGCCAGTCCCTTCCCGAGGCCCCGCTCTCCTGGCGCCTCTGGACCCGCTCCCACGGAGCCTCGGGAAGGAGGGGGGAGGAAAAGGGGCAGCCCCGCCTCCCCAAGGAGAGGGGAGCGCCTCTTTACGCCGGGCTAGCCCGGGATACCCGGCTCCCAGCGCCTGCTGCGTCCAATGGGGACCTCCTGGGCTTGCTTCCCTCTCCCCTCGGGGACCTCCCTTCCAGCAACAGCCATGACTCTGGGGACAGGCTGAGGCCTCAGAGCCGAGGAGAGGGCTCCCTGATCCCGGGAGGGAGATTAGGGCAGCCCCAGAGGCCGAGGAGGCGCATCTACCTGGCAGATGGTTAACTCCGAGGGGGCAAGGTGCGTGTGGAGGGCTCCTTATCTCGCCCAGAGCCAGCAGCACCTGCTCTTTCCTTGGAGGCGGCCTACACTCAAGAGGAAACGCCTGAACAGACAGGGGCAGCCATCCTCCAAGGCCATGCAACTTGCAGGAGGCAGGGCTAGGTAACACATCCAGTTCCCCCTGCCCTGGAGGTTAGCTCTAACCTGGCTCATCCTGCTGCCCTACAAGGGGTCACCTCAAAAGTGGAAGAACACCCACAGGTTCATGCTCCCCTTAGATCTAGAACTTTGGGTGGACAGGTAAAGGCTGAAGTTGGAGGGAAACGGGTGTTTTTTTAGTGGCATGACATCTGGTAGAGTCCCTTTCCCAAGCTGTTGTGCCTGACCTCCAGAGATTAGACCCCTTGTGTAGGGGAGGACAGGGAGGAAAGGAGCTGAGACACAGGAGACTGGGGCACTGTGGCAGATGGAATGGGCATGACCTTTGAATTGGCTTTGAATCTCAGCCCTGTCATTGACTAGCTGTGTGACTTTGGGCAAATCACATTCCCTCTCTGAACTCCCATAATCTCAGCTATAAAATAGGGTCTGCAGCTAGGGACTATTATGAGAACAAAACAAACTCAGGCTCCCAGTGCCTGGCTCAGAGTGGATGTTCAGTAAATACGAGAGGAGTGACTTAATGGATGAGCACTTCATTTATTCACACTTCTGAGCAATCAGTTTGAAGAATCCTTAGAGATGACCTTCTCATTTTCAGATGGGGAAACTGAAGCTCAAAGAGGGTCAGAGGCTTACCCCAAATCCCACAAGCTAGTCAATGGCAGAAGCAGCAGGTCTCCAGGCTCCCTTTGCTCCACTCTGTAAGCTTCCTGTCTCTATTCATTGAGGCTTTACCAAGTGTCTGCTTGGAGGTTAGCATCGGGCCAAGTGCCCAGAGAGAAAACAAAAGGATACCAAGCAGACTGATAAAGTTACAGCAGCAAGAAGCTATTACATTTGTATTGTGCTTTCTAGTTTGTTTTTTTTACCCAAAAAAGCATTTTCACATTCATTACTGACCTTGCTTCTCTAAACAAATAACCTTTTGAGGTAGAAAGAGGAGACATTGCATCCCTGTTTAACTGATGTAGCAGAAAGAGGATGTGACTTGCTCAAGGTCACAGGCTAGTGATGGAGCCAGGAGAAACCCTCCGCTCAACTTTGAGTCCAAGTCCCTGTAGGGGATTCCCTGAAGTGGTGACAGCATGAAAGACTGGGACCACCCCCCTCATCTCCCACTTCACCTGCCTCCTTCCTGGCAGCTGAGAATTACTAAGCAATTTACATGCTGAGCACCTGCAATAGTCCCACTGTATAGAAATAAAAAGAGGGTTAAGTACTCCCTGCACACACAGTGAGTGAGAAGCAAAAGAGAAGCCAGGTTACACGTACCATCTGTTTTCATGTTTACCTTGCCTTGTTCCAAACCAGGTTCAAGGTGGGAGCATCCCACCTTCCCAGCTCAGTGCCTACCTTCTGACCGAACCACACACCCTCCCAGGCATGTAGCTCTTTAACAGTTTGAAAAAAGGTTTCCATGATGATTATGTCCTGAGAGCGTCTAATCAACCTTCTGACCATCAGGCCCATTTTGCAGAGAAATTACCTGAAGGTTGAGATGTCTCCAAGGTCATACAGAAATTCTCCAAAAGAAAGTGTGAATCAATATAATGTTCAGTTCACCGCCGGCTCTCCCAGTGCTCCATTCCATAGGCCTCAGCAGATCTTCAACTTCTTCCACCCTTCAGTGGAACATAACTTCATTCTGAAGCCCCAGGCCTCGATGCAAATGTATGCCGTAGGGCTCCACTCCTGCCCACCACCATCTGAGGGGCTGGCTCTGAGCCATTGGGTAGTGTAGTGCTAAGGCACTTGGCTGCTAACCAGAAGGCTGGTGGTTCAAACCCACCAGCTGCTCCTCAGAAGGAAGGTTGGACAATCTACTTCCATAGTAATACTGTCTCAAAAACCCAAGGAAGGTCGCTGTGAGTTGGGTCCAACTCGACGGCACATAACAACAACATAAGGAAGATACCAGGTCCAGGTGGAGGAATGGACTGAGTAAGGCAGAAGTGGTGGTTGCCCATCAAGCCACCCAGAAAGGAAGCCTGGCAGTGCAGGGTCTCTGCAGCAGACTATAAGCTCCAAAGGCTGAGAACCCAAGTTCACCTCCCTGCTCTGTCATTTCCTCGCTTTGTGATCATTTCACCTCTCTGTGCTGCCATTTTCTCATCTGTCCAGTGGGGATCATAATCACTCCCACTGCCTGGTTTGCTCTGGGGAAGGTAATCAGATATGCATCCTATGCCTGGGACACAGTAAGTGCCTTTCTCAGTCCACTCCTCCACCTGGACCTGGTATCTTTCACATACCCTTGCGCAAGTGGCTCAGAGCCAGCCCCTCAGAACTGATTGGCAAGAACGGAGCCCGAAGGCATACCAAAAAAAAAAAAAATCTTTACCGAAATAGTATGCCCCATTATCCTTCCTTGGAGCAGCTGGTAGGTTTGAACTGCCAAACTTCTGGTTAGTATTCAAATGTCTTAGGTACCGCACCACCACAACTCCTTTTAAGTTCTCAATACCTGTAGTTAATACTATTAATTATTGACTCTTTCTGTGGCCTCGACCAAGCCACTTCTTTCCTCTAGGCCAGTGACCTACATCATAAAATGGGAAACTTGGAGAAGATTGCATAATTTTTTCAGCTACTAAACCAGTTCTCTCAAATCAAATGTAGATAAAAGTGGAGCTGCCTGCGTGAGGCAAAGGTGGGGGTCCCAGAGCCCTTCCTGCTCAACTTCCCCCTCAAGCCTCACCTGAAAGTTCCTCCACTGAACTCCAGGACTCTGTAGAGTTGAAAACCATGGGACTGGATCCTTGTCACCTTTATGGGCTCTTTCAGCACCAACATTCTAGGATCAGACTCGTGCATCTGAAAGCCCCACCGTGCACTGGGCCGTGGGCATTGCAAACCAGAGGTTGGAGGTTGGAGTCTAGCCAAAGGTGCCTGAGAAGAAAGGCTTAGCCACTGACTTCTGGACAATCGGCCACTGAAAACCCTATGGAGTCGTTCTACGCTGACATACACGGGTCGCCATGAGTCAGAATCAGTAAGACACAACTGGTCCCGGTCCTGAAACTGGATACACTGAGCCCCGGGCTGGTGCTGGTGGGATGGAAAACAGGAGGGCCGGCATCAGATAGATGCTTAGCACACGTTAGTTCCTTTTGTTCCCATCTTCTCCCTCCTCTCCAGATAGGGAAACTGAGGCACAAAACAGGCAGCAGCATGAGAGTGTGATGGCAAGAAAACTTGGAGAAGAATGTGGCTGTGGGCTGTCCTAGCTGCAGTTGTGGGCCATCAGCTGGCAGGCCAGACCAGGCCCCCATAGAGATGAGCACTGGGCATACAGAGCCTTGTCAGAACTGGCTCAGACCCTAGGTGGTCAGCAGGGAAGGCCA